TCTTCTTGGCAAAAATAGCCATTTGGGCAAGAAACTGTTCTTGCCTGGACTGCTTGACAAAATGTATTGACTGGACATGCAGGACCCACAGGAAGGTGACCACTGAATTTTGCAAGGCAAAATGGTCCTCCAGGTTCCTACTTCGCAGAAGAAACTCCCAGACATTCTACAGGATACAGAAAGAAATGACTAAGAGACTCTAGGCCTATGGGCTGAAAACAGATGCCCCAACATTACAGAAGAACTTTAGGAGACTGTCCAGGCAGCCAGCTTTCTCTGTCATTCTAGATTTTTGGAAGTTGCTTGTAATGCACTTCCTGTTTACTTAGGTAACATTATATCCTTCTGGGATTTTTGATGTAGTTGAAGACTAGATAGTTATAATTTTCCTTGGTTATGATAAAAGATAAATTAGATATGAAACTTTAGACTCACAAATATAGGATAGATGATAAAATATTTTCTTTAATTTTGTAAAATACAAATAGACTAGATATTATAACTGTAATTCTTGCTTGATAACTGCTTTATTATGTCATTTTACTATGTTAAAGTTAAAACCTTCCTTTTTGATTAGACAGAAAAAGAGAAGTGCTGTGGAATGTTGTTCTGTATGCTGTGAATGTGTGTTGCTCTGATTGGTTGATAAATAAAATGCTGATTGGCCAGTAGCCAGGCAGGAAATATAGGCGGGATAAGCAGACAAGGAGAATTCTGGGAAAAGGAAGGATGAGTCAGGAGTTGTCAGCCAGACACAGAGGAAGCAAGATGATATGGTAGAACTGAGAAAAGGTACCAAGGCACGTAGCTAAACATAAATAAGAATTATGGGTTAATTTAAGCGTAAGAGCTAGTCAGTAATAAGCCTGAGCTAATGGCCATATAGCAGTTATAATTAATATAAGCCTCTGTGTGTTTATTTGGGTCTGAGCAGCTGTAGACCAGGTGGGACACAGGAAAACTTCCAACTATAACGAGTTGCTTTGGGGAGCAACTGTGAAGGTCAGAGCTGAAAGTGAAAGTCAGAGGCTGTGATCTGCAAGGTACAGCATCAGCAGAGGAACTACTGTATGTGGGCGGCACACAGAAATAAATAGCACAACACCTCTCCTCCCACTTCTCCCCTCTTCCTAACCTTGATATTCTAGTTCACACAACAATGTCTTTCAGGAGACAGAACTGCCAAGAAGGCCTAGCCCTAAATAAAAGCTGGTAAAGTTCTTTAGTTTTCAGTGGCACACACTTCTATAGTACGGCCATTTGACAGTGGAGTAATTCAGAGGTATCATTGGAAACTTAGCAGGAAATTCATGTTTTGTACTTTTACCAAGTTCAACCCACAGTAGAAAGACACCAGTGTTTTAAGATTTCCCTAATATTAAAAGGAGGTCAGTGTCATTTTAAATGAAATGATGGGCATTATGTAATTATTTTATCTTCTTCCTAGGAAATACTCTGATTTTGTCATGGTCTCCAGGAGATAGCAAAAAGCCCCACTTTTAAAAATATTGTTGTTGAAGAAATAAAAAACTATTTTAATGAAAATTTATTTTTATTGTTTATCCATAATCTATTTATTAATTCTAAAAATAATTCCTTGATCTCCTCAGTAACTTCCCACACTAGAAACATGTGTCTTTCCTTTTCTCACTTCAAAATTACCTTAGTCAATTAATGTTTACATTAGTAACTATTTTCTAACCTTCTTGTTCTTATTTTTCAAAGCACCTTAAGCAATTTTCCTGTTTTAGGAAGGTCTCACTGTATCTTCCTCTTCATTGTATAATCTTTGGGAATCATAACAAGTAATTACAAATTAAAGGCTGGAAAAGTCAGTCTTCTGTTAAAGCAAGACTCTGTTTACCACTTGGGGGAGGGGGCTAGCTTTCTTTAATTTAAGGGTCTTATAGGCATCCTTTAATATCACTTAGTATGTCTCTCAGTCAGCAGTGACCATGTGCAATTCTTCCTACTATTTATTTTCTTAAGGGGCACAAGTTCATTCAAGAGTCTGAAGAACAAAAACTTCACTTCTATAATTCAAAGGGACTGAACTCTAAGAATCAGTCCACAAAGGAGTACAGGATAGTTTCTATCAATTACCTAATTATCACATGGAAAACTATTAAAATACAATGTTTATTTACTAGGAAAACCTTTTTTAAAAAAGTAACTATTAATTTGAAAAGAATTTATGGATTTCCAGATTTGAAGAGTAAGGAAGCCTTTAAGAAAACAAAACCAGACCCCCCCCCACCTTCCCCAGGGGTAGGGGGAGGAAGGTATAATAAAACCAATCAACAAAATAAGTCATAGAAATAGACACTGTCATCTAGAAGGCCTATTATCTCTTGATTTCAATATTCCTGTCTTCTTTGCCTTGAGACTGTATACTTTAATATTTTCAAGATATACCCAAGAGTTACTGCCTATACCTTTGTCCCTAAGTCCCCATAACCTAAAATGCTTCGTTACAGCTAATCTCTGAAACAAACTTATAGAACCTTCCAACTGAAAGCAATGTCTCCTTGAGGTCTACATCTGATCTGCTTATTATCCCTGCATCACAAGCAGCCAACAGGTGAAACAACAGATGCTTTGATTCCTGGTCAGTACTTCTGGCAGAAAAACCTATCTAGTTCACTAACCATCATGGATGGTCCTCTATCCCAGGAGAGGTTCTGTGCTTGCATATGTACACACTCTCTCTTTCCCTCTCTCCTAATTCTCTGATATCCTATTGTTGAAAATAAGATTGTCTTCTGAATACCAGGTTCATTTTTTTGTAGTTGTATGGTAAAGTCACATACTGAACACTCACTGTCTCCATCAACCTGAGCTACTTCAGACCAGCTTCACTTCAAATTATACTGTTTGGGTCCTTAATTAACATTATGTAAACCATCTCAATTAATATATTCAAAGTTTAGTCTTATATTTAGGTCATCTTTTACTAGCAAATATCCAATTTTTATTCCATATTTGACTTCTATTTAAAAAAAAATTACCAAAGGTACCATAAGAAACATCTTAAATCCTTCCTCTTTACACAGTTTCTAGAATCTACAACTTACTTTTTAAATACTTAATTATCAAATTAGAAACATTATACTCTAGGACAGACTACTTACAACAGCATTATGGTCGCTACTTAGCATCTCCAAGCTTAAAATATGCAGACACCATTCTATGTGTGTACAGAACCACTTTTAAACTTTATAAGGTGACACATTCAATTTATTCTATTTTCCTCTAATTCCAAATTGAGTTTTCCATAAAACTGAACATATTCTAGTTAACTGTGTTCCATTGTGCCATGTGTACCATTAAGAACTAATTATAAACCCACAAAACAGTGGTCTTGGGAGGATTTCAAGGTGATTCAGGATAACTCTAACCATGGGAAAAATCTGGGCAAAGATTAGCTTAGAAACTTTCTAAGCTATTGAAATGATACATCAGTAAAAAACATGATGAAATTCAAATCCCAATCTAAAATATAGTTGCATTCAAAATGTTCATGCACAAAAGAATTATTTAAAACTCAAACATCTCTGAAAAAAGTAACAGAGGCTAAATATGCTTATGAACTCATCTGCAAATATATCTAAAGGGATTTCTAGTTACTTAAGATCTTAAGAAATTTTCAACACTATTTCTATTTTGCTTCTACCTATATGCTCTTTCCTTGATACAGAAATGACCCTAACATAACTCAGCTTCTCAAATGTAGTAGTTTTTGGCTCTCAGGTAAAATGAGAATAAGTCTTCCACATTAATTAAAAAAGGACAGTTAACATCAAGCACTAGACTACCATTTTAAAATCCATTTATTTATATACACACACACACACACACACACACAAAGGTGGAAAATAAGGAGTGGCCAGTAGGTAATCTTATGTGGCTAAAAAAATTTATGGGGAACTAAGAGAGAAAACCTGAGATCCCAAGAGTCTAAGGCAGAAGTAAGCAGTTTCTCTGCAAGGGACTACACACTTAAGGCCTCTGTGGCTGCTACTAAACTGTCTTTATAGCATGAAAACAGTAACAAACATAAATGAATGACTTTAGCCAAACTCTAAATAATTTGTATGGGGCTGGAGGATAGTACAGCACTTAAGAGCACTGACTACTCTTCCAGAGGACACAGAGTTCCATTCCCAGCACCCACATGCAGCTCACAACTACCTGTAACTCTAGTTCTAGGAGATCCAACACCCTCTTCTGGCCTTTGAAGGCACCAGACATACATATAGTGAACAGAAAAAAATGTAAGCAAAATATCCATATACATAAATTAGAAATAATTTTTTTTAATTAAAGACTTTACTTATGGACACTAAAATTTGATTTCACATAATTCTCTAAGTCACAAAATTATGATTCTTTGACTTTAATAACCCTTGCTTTTTGAGAAAAAGTCTATGTAGCTCAGGGTAGCATAGAAGTATGTATTCCAGGCTGATCTCAAACTCATCATAATCCTCCTGCTTCAGCCTCCTAACAATCAAGGTTACCATGAGCCATCATGATCAGCTTTCATCAACTCATTGATAATGTTTAAAACAAACAACATCCCACCCCACCCCACCCCAAAAAAACACTATTAGCTCATGGACTGAATAAAAATCAAATAAAAAGAACAGGTAGCATGCCTGAATCTGTCCTTCAGACTAGGAGTTGCTGATCTTTGGCCTAATGAACAAGGATAAAAGTGGGGGAGGCTAGAGAGCTATTCATGAACATTCTGGAGTTAATCGAAACAGTAAAGCAGGAGCCCCATGCGATATGTGTACATTACTGTCAGATCCAGCCAGACACAATCGCATATTGCTGTCTTTAACATAAACATAAAAATGACTCCCAAGAAATCATTGAGTCACAAACAAAATTAACTAACTCTCACATAAATGGTATACCAGTTAGAATTTTAAACAGATAAGTCATTTCTTCAGAAAGTATCCTAAAATTACAGTGATAGCTACATTAATCATTACCATTTTGTCCCTGAGTCTCTCTCCACGGATAAAAAAGTCCGCACAGCCATTCTCTTCCTGATGAGGGACTCTGAAGACAGTGACGCTGCTCAGTCCGCTCCCTCCGAGTGGTAGCCATCCGCCACTTGAGTCATCTCTGGTCATTACCACAGCTCGCACTTGTGCATAACTATTACTAAAACAGATGCAAAGATCAGGAATTAGCTTTTCCATAAACAACAAGAAAGCCAATGTGTTGGTCTTGTTTAAGATGCCAAAAACCACAGTAATTACTATGTAGTAACTAGTATGTTTATTACTTACTTCCATAATAAGCCATAGGAAAAACCTAATTGAAAGGGGGAAATCCACAAACTGAAGGTTGTTCTTTATTTTGAAGGCTCAACTCATAATAAGACTACAGGACTCCTATTTCAATTCATCATTTGGTAGACAGAGCATATCTGGATCACCCTGTACATGTGTGATCATAGACCCCAGACAGAATTTGTCACCTTGCCTCTATGTATTCATTTGATGCAACATTACAACAAGGACAAATTACTGCTGTATTTATTTAGCTCATTTAATTATTTCTAAGTTCCAAACTGTTTTGGAATATATTATAAACAAAACATTGAAATAAGCATCCTTAGACTTAGAAGTCCATTTTTAAAAATTTCTACCAATGAATGGAGAGCCTACATAATTTTTATAAATCACAGAGGGATATTCTGTTTATTCATCAATCAAATATACCTGTGGACACCTTTCATGTCTTCATTTTGCTAGATTCTACTCTTTTTTTTTTTTTTTGGTTTTTCGAGACAGGGTTTCTCTGTGTAGCTTTGCGCCTTTCCTGGAACTCACTTGGTAGCCCAGGCTGGCCTCGAACTCACAGAGATCCGCCTGGCTCTGCCTCCCGAGTGCTGGGATTAAAGGCGTGCGCCACCACCGCCCGGCTAGATTCTACTCTTAAGAGACTAGTTCCATTTCATATTGCTGTCCCAAATTAACAATGATTTTTTACATAAAATCTAGGATATTCACTTAATGCATTAAATATCCTATACAACTGACATGTAGCCCTCAGTTTAAAAACTTTTACTGACTATTAATAAACCATTTCTAAGTCTGCATAATAAATCATGCAGACATAGAAAAGTATACCGGATACAACTTAGATCTGTGGATAATTATAAATATAAGCTGAAGTTCTACACAACAGTTCTATACCTCTTAATGTATCTCTGCATGCTCTAAGCTGCTTCTTGTCATTCCTATGGTACTACACTTGTCCAAAAGTCCTTCCCTTGATTCTGTTGTTTCCATTATTTTTCTAATTTTTAAAAATTATAAACTCTAATTTTAAAATTTATTTATATTATTTCCCTCTTCCCATGTTACTCCCTTCAACTCCTTCTGTGAAAATCTTTGTTATTTCTTTTATTGAGGTAACTTCATACACAGTACCATGCATCCACTTTAAATACACAGGCACCACCAAAGTCTGCAGATGTGTACATATGCAGCTCAGTACAGGTGTTTGTGTCCCTGCAGAATGCATTGCTATCTAAACCCAAAGGTGAGGGTATGCAGCAGTGGAGAATTTGGGTCAGGAAGGCAAACACTCATGATTGGGGTGATCAACCTTAAACAAACTCTTAAAAGCTACCTCATTCTTTCTCCCATGTGATGACATAGCTAAAAGATTATCACCTATGGTCCTGAAAGTGAACCCAAACAGACAAATTAATCTTCATGTTCTCATCCTCCAAAAGTGTAAAAAAGAAATGTTTGTTGATGACAATCCATCCCACCTATGCTTTATCTTGTAGATGCACAAATGGACTAAGATATACAGAACCACCATGGAAATTTAAGATACTTCTGCCACACCAAAGAATCCCCTTTGCCTTCTGTTTTTATTTATAACATGCAGACAGTTTGGCCCATGCTAAGTTTTCATATAAACTGAAGCAAGTAGTATTACTATCATTATACTTTAACTCACTATACTGTTTTAGTGTATCAGAGTAAATTTGACTAAGTAGTCCTCTAGTTGAATCATTATTGATTTTTTTTTTTCTTACACTGAGAGAAATCTGAATCATTCCAGTTTGTAAGCCATGGTCAAGTTCATATATAGATCTCTTTCTCTATAATCCTGTTTTTGAGACAGGGTCTCATACAACCCAGGCTGGTGTAGAACTCACTATGTAGCTGACAAAGACCTATACAAGTCTGTTATTAGCAATGCTTTCATTTCTCTTAATTACCTAGAAATGCAATTATTAGGTTACAAGGCAGTTGCATGTTTAACCATATAAAAAGTTAGTAAATTATTTTCCAAAGTAGTTGTAAGTATACATTTTGTCAAAAATGACAGCTTGTGTTCCACATCCCTACTAATATCTGGGGTTTTCGATATTTTAAATATTACTGTATTGTGTACATTATAGTGCTATTTGTGAACTATTCTTGTTGTTTGGAAGATTAATGAGAGCTAGCATCATTTCATTTGGTCATGTGCTTATCTTTTAAGTCTTTTCATCTCTCTCTCTTTTTTTAATGACAAGGTCTCATTGTGTAGCCCTGACTAGCCTGGAATGAGCTATGTGGAGCAAGTTGGCCTCAGATTCACAGAGATCCACCTGCCTCTGCCTACTGAGTGCTGAGATTAAAATTATGTGTCACCATGCCTAGCTTGCTCATTTTTAAATTAATTTTTAGAAGTTTTTTACATATTCTGGACACAAGTCTTTTGACAAAGAGTATTACACTGCCCAGTACTGTGGTTAAGAGTGAGGATTTCGTTGACCATGATGGAACACACCTTTAAGCCTAGTACTCAGGAGGCAGAGGCAGACAGAACTTTGTATGATGGAACCTGGCCCCATCTAGTCAACGTAGCAAGTTCCATGTCAGCCAAGGCTACATAGTAAGACTGTCTAAAAAGAAAAGAGAAGAGGAGGAAGAGGAGGAGGGGGAGGGGGAGGAGGAAAAAGAAAAGTGTAGATTCTAGTCAAATGTCCATAAGTTGGATCTAGGTTTGGCTAAATACCAGGTCTGCAACCTTTGGAAAAATACTAAAGCTTCTGTGCCTAATCTTTAAAGAAACAGCACCTATCTTTATTACAAGTAAACAGTGCCCAACACATAGTAAATGCTGTATTTAAGTAGATGACAAAAAACATTAAACTAAAGTTGCCATTCTGGTTATCCAAAGCCAGAGAGTGACGACTTTCTATGGCTAGTCAACATTAAGTATACAGAAGCTCTGATGGCACTGGCTTTACAGGGAACCACTCGTGTCTACACTTTTTAGTACTTAGCTCTTTAGTCTCTTGCCAATCTTCCCTTAGAACTGCTCAGAGACATAGGAGCACAAAGGCTGCATTATTAACAGCTTCTCGAGGCTAGATTCTTTAAGGTACATGAAGGAGTTCTTAAAGGATTTTCTTCATTCTTGTTTTTAATGTAAAACCAATATGGTACCAAAACTTCTGATCTCTGCTCTCTATTTGAACAACTGTTTAAAAGTATTCATTCACATAAAGAAGAATTAGCTACTACAGCGTAACACAAGACTGAGCAATTTCTAAGTGAACAAAGACTTATTTTCCATAAATCTGGAGACTAGAAAGTCCTGGATCAAGAAACAGGAAACTTTTTTTTTTGTCTCCTTACAGTTCAGTTCTTTTGCTCCAAGATGTTGCCTTAAACTCTGTGATCTCCAGAAAATAACACGGGCCCTAAAAACTTCTATATGAAAGGCTTGGTGTTCAGCTGATGCCACTCTTAGGAGCTGAAACTTTCTAAGTGGGACTAACTGGAGGAAGTATGTCATAGGAGCACAGTTTCAGAGGACACACTGAGATCCTTGTTCCTTTCCTCTTTCTGCTTCCTGGCCCACTAGGAGTTAAGCAGCTGTTAGATGGTGAGTTCTCTGGCATATGATCTACTCTACCACAGACCCAAAGTACCTGGGCCAAGTGATCATCTACTGAGATCTCTGAAACTATGCCAAAGTAAGATGTCTTCCTTTAAAGCTTGTTTTCTCATGTAGTTTTCAAAGCAATGGAAAGATTACTAGCATAGACAGAAAAGTTAACTGGTTGGTACTTGGAAATAGTAGGAGCTCCTAGTCACCCAGTCATCTCTCAGCCTCACACCCCACACACATCTGTAATGAACTGTAAAGCTCTTTAACCATGTATGTATTTTCTTTTCTAGAGACAGCATAGTTTTAACCACAACTTTTCAATTAATGTATGAACCATGGCTACACAAAACAGAATTTCTTGTACTACTCTAGCTTCTCCCAGGTCTAGCTCGGAAGTATTTCTCATCTAGCCTATCTGTAGTTATGCTTTGGCTAACTGTCTTAACATCTGTAAAATAAATTCTTTTCCTAGTTTTTCTTTCCTGTCTGCCTCTGACTCTAACTCTTCTATAATATACCAACTGACACACATCTTTATGTGAGCTTACTAAAAGGTTTACCTAAGTTTCTGGCCTCCAAGCAACAATATAACAAATTTCTATTGCCTTAAAGACACTGGTTCTCTGGTAATTTGTTCCAGCAGCAGCAGTAGCAGCAGGAAATGAATACAAAAGCATGAAGGAAAACCTTGAGGATATGAGAGTAATCTGCATACAGGAGAGGAAAATAACAATTTTCCTACAGTAAATGGTAATTAACTGCCCTTCTTACCCACAAATCGAAACCTCCTAGAATTCTATAAGTTGTATTCAGTACAAGAATTAGCTCTGTGTGTGTGTGTGTGTTTTCCCCTGATGTATGCTTACAATGACAAATGGCAAAGTATTTTTGTGTTTTCTTTTTACTTTTCATTATGGCATATTTCAGGCACACATTTGCCATTCAAATATTAAGGCAGACACTAAGAGAACCACACATTCACTTAACTAGGGAACACTACTTATATGTCATGTACATAAACAAAATAGGAAACTATGTTCCTTTTTCTGTAGAGGCTTCACACCTCTCCACTAAAGACTTAACAAATAGAAATTACTAATATCCCCTTTATTTGGGATGGGGTTAAGACAAGATCTCATATGTAGCCCAGGCTTCTCTCAAACTTGAGGCCTTCTCCCTCAGTTCCTGGGTGCTGGGATTATAGGCAAGTACCACCACATTTGACTTAACAGTCAATAATCAAGCCTTCT